AAAAAAAAAAAAAAAAAAAAAGATTATAGATACTGGAAATATTTTACATGTCTTTTTGTGATTTTCTGTATTATCAAATGTATACCACTTGAAACATGTCCACAGATGCAGATAAATTGTACACAACTTTTTTACATCCTAAAAAAAGTTTTTTTAAGATGTAAAAAAAACATTTTTGATGTGTACAAAGCATTAAAATAAATAATATTTTTTGCAATGGCTATATGAACATAACTAAAACCTATTAAACTACATTAATCGCAGGATAAGAATCAGATTCGTATAATCATACCACAATTGATTTTAGCTCCCCTGTTTGTAAAGTCCCATTTGCAAAAACCACTAATTTGTTAAGGTTGGAGGGATATTTGATTATTCCTCATTTCACATAGAGTTAGTGGTTCTCTCTTAAGTGCATTCTTTAATCAGTTAACTTATAAATGCCCTTGATTATCTTTCAATCACAAAGAAACAAGCTCAGATATTGAGCTCTAATAAATTCACATTGACTTTTATGTCCCCTTTCCTATGCATTAAAGCAGAATTTAAACTTTCATCTTTTTCTTTGTGTCTCAAGCAAAACATTCCAACAGAACTCAACCAAGGTCACCACTTAACCTTTTTTCAAAATACAAATGAAGTTCAACCATTTTGCATTCTAAAAGATGATGATATGGGTGGATATTTTCATTTAGGATCATTAATAACTTAATCGATCCATCGATGTGGATTGATTGTGCTACAACCCTATTTGTTAAATCAAAAATGTATGTGTGCTTCATAAAACTGTAATGCTAATAATACCATATGAAATTAGAATGGAAAATTAAGCAAATGGCAATATACAATTCTATAGCACATTTTTAAAAAATGGAGTAGCCAAATTGCAGTACATTAATACAGAATTATGTATAAAAAAAACATACAAAACATGAACATTTAACTTAAACGGCAGGTGCCGTACAAGGCAAGATCACAGTGTGTTGAAAGCCAGTGAATAAAAGTGTACTTGAAAAAGAGATTTAAAAAGAGGAGGAAGAAAAAAACACATCAAATCACAGTATTTTAAAATTATGGTCACTGATATTTTCAGTTTGAAAATAATTTACAAACATTTGAAAGTCATCTCATGTGAATAGTTACTTGAAACACAAACCTGAAATTCTGTTCTTTCTTTTTTGTGGTTTTTGTGTCCCCCCTTTCAAACCCCATGCAGCCAGACCTTACAAAACCTTCTGGAAGTGCTACTGCTAAGCAATAGAAATATCACCAATAATAACAATAAACTACACAGTAAACAACACAAACAAAGACAAAACCAGTAAGAACAGTAAGCACCGTCCCACATTGGTCACTGTAAAATTGTTTCTGTGAAATAATAAAACATCAATAGGCATTGAGAAAATGTCAATGACAAAAAAATTATTCTAACATCCCTATAAAGGAGATGGAGCGTTTGCTCTTGCACCACAGAGGGGTTTTTGGGACAGCATTGTCAAGCTGCGACTAATGATGGATGACTGCTGCTTAATTACACTGTGAGCCTATCTGTTATCTCTGCTTGCCTAATAATAAATGAAGCTTCTCAATACTGCTCATAGTGTGTGAAATAACAACAATACATCATGGTCACTTTGAAAATTACAACTATGATGTGACTTTGGGAGGATTGCTCCCTCACTGTGAGTCTGGCCTATATTGTCATATTGTCTTTATCCTGTGTTTGTGTCCATTGTTTCCGTAGCAGATTATCATATTAATCTGAGGAAGATTTCTTTAATCTCTAATGGCATCCAAAATGAAGGAAACATAATAACTCTGCTTTCCCTGAAAAATAATGCCAGAGGAAATCTGCTTACTTTGGAGTTATACGGTGGCATCCCTCGCCCCCAGGATAGTATGGGACGGGATGTGGGGGTAGAAGCCCTGTGGAGTTCGTCCATATGGCACAACAGTTGGCACATGTATATTTTTTAGGTCTGGTTGGCGCTCTGTGTAATCTACTGGGTAGGAAATCAGAGCTTAATCTCTTCTGATTTTGCTAACAGAGCATGTCAAACATGACTTCTCCTCGTTTGCACTTCCAGTGCCCATAATGTCACCATATTTGAGAGTTGACATTTAGTCAAGGAGCCAAGTGTGCAGCCTACATTGGAAGGAGAGTGTGTGTGGCTTCTGCACCTCCGGATAGATTTACTCCCCGACTGACGCGTTGTGTACGGTTGGCTGGTGAAACCGTGATGCTGACGAGGTCGACGCCGCATGCTCCCCCGCTGTGGTCGCGTTTCAGTTTACAGATTTCTGCCTTTGTACGGGAGCTTGAGGGGGGGGGGGGTATTCTTTTATGCATCCTGTATCTGTGCAACTGCACGGGAGTCAAAGTAAACACCACGCAGAGATCAGAGGAGAAATGAGACTGGGAGGAGGGGATGCAGGGAAGGAGGGATGGAGAGAGGGAGGGAGAGAAGGTGATGGTGGGGGTTAGGCTGTTTGTGTGACACTGGGAGAGAAACAGTCGGAAGGAGAAGGAGGAAGAAGAAAAAGAAGAAGAAAGGATCCTGTGTGTGCGTTTGTTTCACCTGCTAATCAGTCTTCCTTGGGGACCCATCAGCAGCAGCATCAGTGGAGGAAAGTAAGGAGGAAAAGAAACGTCTCCCATCATAAACCCGAACCTCAGACGAGTAAGAAATATGCTCTAAAACTATTCTACTTATTGATCATTGTCAATGCCGAGAAATTAAATCGGCAGAATTGTTCTATTTAGGTTATTATGAACTTGTTTATTCCACCTCTACTTCCCGTCTATGTACCTCTAAAGAAATATTTGATATGTAATTCGATGGAAATGACTAGTGGATAGTGTTTCACATCAGCAACACACTTAGTGAAATCATTAATGCTGTTACAGGACAGGGAATGGGTTTTATGGAGTTGCATTGATTATTTATTAGAATAGGGCTATTATTGTTCTCATATATTGCTTAAATTGTGCAGATGAACCATAGGCTTTATGTTTTTGTCACATAATTTATCATTCAGTGGCTTTAATCTTCTAGAAAAACTGGATTCAAACTCAGTGATGCTATATTTGGTTCTGATAAAAAAAAAATACTACACTTGTTTTCTTCTTCTCTTTTACATCAAAGTCTGATTCAGTTCTACATCAAAGTCCTGGAAAGCGTTAAGTTCAACTCAGAAAATTGCTTAATGCACCTTTCTGTTTCAATGTGCAGGATTGCTGCATCTCGACATCTGTGTGTCTGGCGATAGGAGCACGGATGACCCACCCAACGTATGCATGTGTGGACAAAGCAGGATTTATGATGTGAAAACTCATTGTAATTATCAGCCAGAGCCAGCTGTCTTGTTTGAAGCAGCTGTCTATTAAAGTAGAGATAATTGACTCTGATTTCTTCTCGAAACGCCAGTTTACAAATGAGGTCATGCAGTGGAAGCCTGTGAATGATATTAAGACCTTTGTCTGAACCGCGCTCACACATTTTTGATCCGAAAGTAGCGCACGAGGAGAGGCGTAGGGCTTTTTGATGACCGGTCCTGTGAGAATCTCTCTCTCTCCCTGCCCCAGATTCCGTCTCTGAAAAGGCTCCATGGTTAGAAAAGAGAGCAGGCAGCTGGAAAGCAGACGCATGGAGACACACGTGATGCATCCCCTCTCTCTGCACTGTCGCCGCGTGAACGAGCTACCTTACAAATTTCACAGTTCAAAGGCTTTAATGAGCTGCTGCAGCCTGTCCATCATCCTGGAGCGGGAGAGCACCTTAGCGAACCCAGCGGTCAAAAATGATGGCTCCTCTACACGCTTGTCTTTCATCGCATCACACAGACAACAAAAGGAGAATGTTATTTTTAGCAGCATCTTTGAATTTGCATATTTACAGTGTGAGCGTGCGCTTAATAAGAGAGAGAGGAAAAAAAGTACTGTTATGTTGTAGGAGACGCTGGAATTTTACAATGCTTTGCAAAAACAGCCAGCCACAAGATTCAGTGAATTTTGGTGTGATTTTATCTAACAGACCAATTCAAAGCAGTTCTTAATTATGAAGAAGAAGAAAAAGGATGCTTGGTTTCATTTTTTTTTTTTTTTACAAGTAAAAATCTGACATTTGTATTCGGTTAATCTAATGTCCCTAAGCAAAACCCAGAAGTCACGTAATATAAAGTCATCAATTTAATCTCAGTATAAATCCAGCTGTTCTGTGAAGGCCTCAGGCCTTTATCAGAGAACATTAACAAACAGGCAACGTCAAGCCCAACGATCACAGCACACAAAGAAGCTTAAAGCAGGGTTAAGTTATAAAATAACATCAGAAAAGCTTTAAACATCTCACAGAGCTCTGATAAATCCATCAAGACGACGGCACACCTGCTGCCCTACAAAAACACAACCCTCCACCTGAAGTGGTTCACTTGGCAATGAGAGAGGAGCAACCTAGAGATGCCTGGTAACACCTGAGCTGCTCCATTGGTCTGTACTCCATACATCTGGCCTTCATGCAAGAAGAGGCATGAAAACTGCCGCCACTGTCATAGGAAGCCAGCATGTCAGGGTCAAAGTAAAGGTCACGGCCAACATTTACAGAAGGTGCTCCGATCAGACAAAACCAAAGCTGTTTTTTTTTTTCTTCCTGTACGTCAGAATTTTTTTTTTACACTGTAAGATCCAGGTCTCACCTTCTTCTCGGTGAAACATTGTGGCGGCAGCATCAAGGTGTGGGGATGCTCACCTTCAGGTCAGACGTGAAAACTTTTCAGAGTTGATGAAAATATGGATGGAGTTAAACACAAGGCAATCCTGGACTTAAAAAAAAAAAAAAAAAAAAACTTTTGATGCTACAAAAGATTTAGACTGGGTGTTAGATTTACCCTCAGAGGAAAATACCAATATGTGTCGCTTTTAAAAAAAAAAAAAAAAAACTTGAGAGAATCATAAATATTTTTCTTCCACTTGACATTTTTGTGCTATCTGTTTTATGACACGTCACATGTAGATCAAAATACATACTGTAAGGCACTGCGGTCAGCTATATTGTAAAAGAAGATTGCAAAGTTCCAGTTGGATGATTATTACTGGAAAACTACAGAGGAGTGGATGCCTCTGGGGGGAAACTCAGCCAAAGTGCATCCACTGCGGAGTCTTCCCATCAGTTAAGAGGCGAGAAAGCGGGAGCTAATGAAACAAACACAGACTGACCAGCAGATTGCTCCCGGCTTAATGCTCTGGGCTGTGTGTGCAGCCACCTGAATCAAGTAGGCAGCGATGAAGATATGACCGTACATCACTTGCTGCTGCTGGGGTGCAAGCCTCCCCAATTTTGGCAATATGAAGCCACTTTTCTTTCACTTGTTCAGCCGTTTTGTGCAAATTCCAGCAGGGAGGGGTGGTAGAAATATTTAATAAGTTTCCTATAGTCTTAACTCCTGCTGACACGTGCAGAAAAGGGGCTTGTTTGTGACCCCCTTCCCCGAGAATCACAGGAGAAGACTGTGAGGGAGGCTGCTGATGAGTGGTTGCCTGGAGACTGCTGTAGGTGGATTATGAAATGCACAGGCAAAACAGAGGCTACTCACTCCGCTGGGAGCGTATTGAGTTGTGTAATAACTGGAAATGTCAGTTGAGGGCAAGAAGAGGGAGGTGGAGTAGAAAAATGTTTGGAGAGTGAATAAAAAGGCAGCCACACAAATCCCTAAATGAGTCTAATTAAATTCTGCCTGAAAACGTGTTCATCCATGATGTTTTCCGCTGCTGCTCAGAGCTGACTCCGGTGACACTGTCTGAGGAGATTCTGCACAGATCAAGGCATTGCTATCACAGCCTGTGTTTAGACCAGCCTAACCGTGTGTGTTTATCTCCTAATCTAATGGCAGATGACAGAAATGGACGCCCCTCTCGCCACTCCGTGCAACATCCAGATCTGTGAGGTGACCTGTGACTCTTTCCGCATCATGTGGGATATGCCTCCAGAGGACACAGCCAGAGCAACGCATTTCTTCATCGACCTGAGCCGCAAAGAGAACAGGGATCCGAACCGCTTCAAACACAGGGTCTGAAACTTCATCCTCTGTTTCTTCATCCTCTACCTGCAGGGCAGCTGCTCTGTCTCCATTAACATCTTTCCCCCATGTTCAAATCAGCCAAAATCAAAATTCTCCACAATCACTAAGCCCAGTTTGGTTAGTACAATGGGTCTCATTACATCTTGGTATTCTGCATTTGTTGGGATATCAGGTTTAACACAGAGTGGTTGTGGCCTTTCAGTCACTTCCAATACAGGCAAAAAGGGGAAAGGGATGCAGTCAACAGCTGCAGGCTTGTGACTCAGTTGTGAATTGTTTCCCGTTAAAGTGAACTAAAGCTGACAAATTCAGCCGCAGCAGTGAGCCGTTCTAGACCTGATTGCATCTAGTGCACTTTGAAGCTACATAATAATAAAAGTAAGAAGAAGAATTGTAGTTTTTGCCAGGGTATATAAATATCAAGCGTATAATGTGGTATGTCTTATTAAGCTAATAGCACCTACCATCTTCTGGAGCTGCGCATCTGTCTGCACACCCTTCACAACAGATTTATCTCAAACATTTTACTAATAAACACAGATGCGTTCATATTAAGCAGAACCTCAGGCCGTTTTAGATTTGTTCACGTTGGCTTTTTTGGGGGGCTCTCTCTAATTAATGAGTGTTAGCATGCTAACAAGCTAATCTGAATGGAGTGGTTTTGGTAAACTACCCTCAAACCTGTGATAATTTTTTAAATTATTATTATTATTATGCAAGCTTCCGCTCCCTCTTGACTTCATTATCATGTTTAAGTGCCATTACTTTGGCAGTGGCACACTGTTGGGAAAAGGAACATCTGCAACTCGAGCAAGTGTTATAGCAGGTTCAATCAATTCCCTTTTATGATGCATTGTATAGGCACTGTAAGAAATATAGGCCCATAGATTCAGTGACTAATGATGAAATTTTTAATTTTTTTGCAATCTGGTTCCCAGTTCACAATTTGGCGCTAGATTAAAGGACTACTTCGGGATTCTGTTTGAAATCTGGAGAGCTTTTGGTCATCTCTAGTTCAATTCATAAAATGCCAAGTTGTCACACACTGGAGAGGGATTCTTTAAAACACACCTTGAGATAAAAAAAAAAAAATACAGTTCTCTTTATCAAAAAACAACAAAAAAAAACAGCCGAGGAGAAGTGAAGCTGCAGAAGCAAAGATCGTTCAAGCAACTGCCTCTCTGACACTTTGCTACGCTTTGCTTGCGTTTCTGCACTCAGTTTCATGTCAACGCTTTCACTCAAATGATATCCACGTGCACATAACATGTGGATGATAAAAATAAAGGATCCCAGTCTCCCTTCCTTGCAGCTGTAAATCCCTGATAGTGGTTATGGCTTATTGCTGCAACCTGCATCCTGTCACTGAAATAAAAAAAGAGGAATCAAAGCAGGGATGGGAATTAGAGAGATGTTTCAGGATCAAGGTTATTTTCCCTCTCAGCAGCAAACGACAAAGCGGCATAAACAAACTTTTGCATCAGAGATGTTTCCATGGATATGCGAGTCGCTGAGCCGGTAATTAGCTGTGCTGCTTAGAGGCCTTGGCCAAAACAAAGCTGTTGATTTGATTAGATGTGTCCTAGTTGCAGTGCCTCTGGCTTGAGAAGGAACATAATGCTAATAATGGAGCGTTTATGCTGAAAAAAAAAATTACGATTTCACAATTTTAAGCATAATTTACTTCCTTAAAAGTCCATTAAACAATCTTCCCCTCTTTGGTGTTCAGGATGTCCCAACCAAGCTGGTGGCCAAGGCTGTCCCACTGCCCATGGCGGTGAGAGGACACTGGTTCCTCAGCCCGCGGACGGAGTACTGTGTCGCCGTCCAGACAGCCGTCAGGCAGTCGGACGGTGACTACCTAGTGTCAGAGTGGAGCCCGGTGGTGGAGTTCTGCACTGGAGGTAAAACTAATCAGCTCATGCAACAGAGTGGTTGTATGGGTTGATAAATACGCTTTAGAACTTTGAAGATAAGAGAAAAGTATTCACACCCCTTGAATGTTTTCACAATTCATCCACAAGGACGAGTGAAATGTATGTGGATTGCATTGGATCGACCAACACAAAGGCTTTTTTTTCTTTGTTTTTACAAAAAAAAAAAAAAATCTGAAAACTGTGTTATGCATTTGTTATTCAGTGTCATTGTATCAATAGTTTTACTGTTTATTCTTTTGGAATCTAAAAACTAGGTTCAACTCTGTCGAATAGATTAGAAGCACGTGTGAAAATCACTTTTCAAGCTTTGCCAGATAATCCCAGTTGGATTTAGGTCAGAACTTTGACTGGGCCACTCCAACACACTAATGCACTTTGATCTATCCCACACTGTCTGTAGTTGTCTTGCTGGATAGTAAATCTCCACCCTAGTTGTAAGTCTTTTGTGGCCTCTGACTGGTCTTTTCCGAGGATCACTGCATTTAGCTTGTAATAGATCATTACACCTAGTCTGACTGAAATGAACATCCCAAGGGTATGATGCTTCCAATTTTAATCAGGACACCAACTTTCACATCTAGGTGTAATGAGGACTGAATGCAAAAGAACATGACAATGGTTTACGTGAAAAATCTTAAAACTTATGCATCATTCATTTTCCTTAACACATTGGGTTATTTACACAATATGTGAAAAGGCTCAAAGGGTGTGAATACTTTTGGGGGACCATATATTCTAAGCATCTGTCGAGGAGACATGATTATTTTTTAATAACATTTTTGCAGACTATGCTATGGAACACCTTCAGCAGCTTCTCGACAAGGCCAGCGGTCCTGCAGGACGACTGCTGAGATTCTCTGTGTTCTATCGCAACCAGCATCCACAATACTTTGACTATGTCAGGTTGGAGCTGTTCTTCTTCTCTTTGACCTGATTGGTCACACTGATCAAAAGAAATTCTCATTTTCTTTCTGTGTCTTGCGTTAGGAGGCAATGTGGGGGACTGATGCGTCCGGCCATGAAAGACACCAGCGGGAGTCATGGCTCTCCAATCAATGGCAAGCTCCAAGGAGTCTTCTTCAGCTGCAACACGGAGTTTGACACAGGGCTCCCTCCCAAAGACTCTCCGTACGGCCCCCTCAGATTCCACATTCCAGCTGGAGTCCTGCTGAACCCAAACACCTGCCTGTACTTTGCAGACTTTTACTGCATGTACACGGCATATCACTACGTGGTGCTGGTGCTGGCGCCTGTGGGCACAGAGGGAGACGACTTCTGTCGCACCCGCCTGCCGAGGCTGGACTTGGCCTCCAACCCCTTTCTGACCTACACTGCCCCCCAGAGGCAGGGGGAGGAGCCTGTGTACTGCCACGCCAGTGACGTGATCCTGGAAGTGCTTTTCACGGAGCCGGTTCACGTGGATCAGGGCAGCGTGGAGCAGATCAGTGGGCACCACCAGCTGATGAGTCTGACCACAGCAAATGCCAAGAAAGATCCAAGCTGCAAAGTGTGCAACATCAGCGTGGGACGCTGAGGGAACCCCTGATAAGTTGATTTTGAGTCGACAGTTCGAAAAGACCCAGAATTGGACAAAACAGCCGAGGAAACTATGGGCTAGTCAGAGGATGGTGGAGAAATAAATCTCTTGAACTGTGTTAAAGCTGCTTCCCACCCCACCTCCACCCTGAATTGGAGGAGTTTTTTTATATCGACCCCTTGGATAATATATATTACAGAGCTCTATAGTTACTCTTCACGTGTCTTCATGTGTTCTCCTGCGTCCACAACGTTTCTGTTTCGTCATTTGTTCCGCCGTGAGTTTGATGTTACTGCCTTCCAGAAATGTGAGTTTCAGAAAAAAAGAACGTTGCACAGATCTTTTTGTTGACTTCTCGGGATTCCCTCTCTGCCAGCATTTCTGCCACCTATGACCTAAAGATGCAGACTAATGTGTTGCCCCCTGGCTAAAGATGCGCAAAAAGCCTTAAAATAAATTCTTCTAACTCATTGAAGTTTCTCTTTTCCTTTTAGAAAAGTCCTACGACTTTAATTTGTGGACATTTATTCAGTGGGGCGAAACACAATGTTAAAATAGAATTGCTTTTAACATATCCATTGGTGGCAAAATCACTGGTAACCCTGCTGTCAAATACTTTGTACAACCTTTGTTTGCAAAAAGGACAGTACTCAGTCTCTCCTACAACATTTCTGATAGTGGGATATCATACACATATTTCCTTGACCACTGCATTTTCCATAATGTCCATGGAAGAGGGTAGGTTTTGTTTGTGATAAACTCGTCTTTATTCCCAATGACAACCTATTTTAGTTGGATTTCCTGCTGTTTCAAATTGCTGATGAAGCCATCACTCTAACAAAGTTTCATAGGGAATGCACATGCATGCATACATACACATTGCACATCGTGAATGGATTTGGATAATGCGTCAGTAAGCTTACAATGCACAGGCAGTAACAGTATGTGAAACGTTGTAGGCCTCATAAACAGTGGATTGACTATGCAGTTATATGTATATATTAAAAATCATATCAGTCTCATTAAAATATATTTATATCAATTGCACATATGTCAAAAACCTGTCTATCTGGAGCGTGAATTATCTCTGTATGCTGCACACTTCAAGAAAGGAATGAGAGGAAAATGTTACAAAAACACACTGTAGTTATTCTTACATCACAATACCAACATTTTAATTTGAAATCAAAATGTTAATTTTAACAATAATGAAACTATTTATTTACAAAGAAACAAGAAACACATATCTTAATGGGAAATTCTGAGGTTAACTTAGAACGTGTGTATTTTTTGCTGATTCGTTACTTGATTTGTTTAATTCAGAATTTTGATTTTCTAGATACCTGCTTTATCTTCAAGGAGACATTTGGGGGAAAGAAACAGAGGAATGAACTGTAAGTGTGCCACATTTGGTCCTTCATCTCTGGTCACCCTCGAGAGCCGCAAAGCGGTATCCTAGTTTGGTCCAACGTCAGCCTGAGCTGTCATCTCTCTCTGAGAATGGAATTAGAGGAAGCAGCTCCCACACTGTCATCTACGGTAGAGAGGGTCACCCTGGGACTGGCTGGGGGTCTCTCTTCTGGTGCTGACCTCTGGTCTCTTGACTTCTGGACTGAATTGTAACCAAGTAGAGAAAAGTGTCTTGCTGGAATGTTGAAGAACATTAATATCGATAAAAATAAAGTAATCAAAATTTGACCAAGTTGATCCAGGCTTGGTTAATACAACTGAGTAGAATTATGTTTTTTGATTTTGGGTTTCTCTTAGTTCATCGTTGTGTGTTTCAATGACTGTCTCCACATATTTCCACCAAATGACACAAATTCTTCTTTCAAACTGTTTTAGTATTTTAATGAGTTTTTATAACATTTCAGTGTTTTTGTCTGTTTTTTCAAATGTCTCTGTTTACGTCTTTCAAAGGGAGAGTAGATAGTTCTCATGGTAATGTGACAAAAAAATCATGAATTATTAGAAAGTCTAGAGAACTTAGAATAAATAAAAATATACTTTAAAGATAGGCGTCACATCACTGACTTGGTTAAAAACTATAATTTCTTGTGAAATGTTTCTCCCCCACTGAATAAATGTCCACTAAATAACTTCGACTTGACTTTGCCAAGCATTATATTGTGCGATAATGCTACATTGTTTATAATGAATTTTAAGGCTTTTCCTTTACCGACATCTGTACTTGTTGAAACTCTCTTCCAATACCTTCATGTTGTTGTTTCCCACCTTTATGACATTACTGTTTTTGTCATTCGCTGCAGTTTGATGTTCCTGTTTGTCAGAGACTTAAGTTTCAGTCAAAAAAGTAAAGAAAAACATACATAAATTATCTTTACATGACTTCTACAGATTCCTTCTCTATAAACGTGCTGCTTAGATTTCTGCTTCTAAAGCATCAAAAACATTTCCAAATGTCAAATCGTCTTTCACACCTTTGATGCTAAATCCAGTTTTCTGATAAGAGTTAGAACCATGTTCTTGCTCATAAAGTAAAGGAAGGTGAAGGATTCCTGTCAGACTATAAACAGAGCTCAGCTAAGATTGACTTGAGGGTTCTGTGTGTGTGTGTGTGTGTGTGTGTGTGTGTGTGTGACGGCCCAGTCATCTTTGACCTATGTGGGAATGCCGGTGATGCCGGCAGTGTAAGGGATCCCTCTGCATACACAACAGTATGAGATGAGAGGCCAACAAGTGGGTCAGGACACAAGAATGTGGAGTGAAAGGAAATGGCACCGGAGAGATGGAAGAACAAAGATTTATTTGAATAAAGCACAAAAACAAACACTTTTAAGATAGAAAAGTACACTATTATATGAAGAAGCTAAATAGCGACGGCATATTAAGCTACTTCTCATGCACTTTCGCTTTTCCCATGGCAGAGGTGTGAATTCACACACACCAAAATGCTGTAATTCTGCCCGTTGTTGTTGTCCCAAAATGGCTCACTTTGCCCTGCGGGCAAATACATTAGGCAAAACTCGATCTTCCTCTTGGCATCCAGCACTTTAGGAATCGCTATATCAAATTCAAAGATGTCGGTCTGGGGTCCTCCGAAACGCTTCTGCACGTAAGTGCAGGGGACGTCCCTGTAGCTGTACCAGGAGTCAAAGGTGATGCGCACGCGCACGTCCTTCTGGAAGCTGAGGTTTCTGACTCGCGCGCTGCCTTGCAGGGCCTGTTCGGTGACGGCGCAGTTTTCCAGGGTGACCATGCTCTCGGCCAGCTTGGCTCGGAAGGACTGGAAGTCCAGCGAGGGCTGCGGGAAGCCCAGCTTGAGCTGCGTCCCCGGGCAGCAGGTGCTGACGGTGCAGCTGTAGGCGTCCCCCGTCATGCTCCCCAAACCCTGCAGGGAGGGCAGTGGGCCGAGGTCACGCTGATCCTCCTCGTGGGAAAACACGCGCACGGCCGTCAGGGAGAAACCCAGCTTGTCTGCAAATACCACACGTCTGTTCTTGACCGGTATCAAAATGTCGCCATCATCATCATCATCGTCCAGGTCACTCAAGAAAGGTGAGAAGGGGTGACTCAGATGGTTGGTGACGTAGACGTGGGGCTGATCTGTTGCTGGGGGTCGGATGCAGGGCCGCTGAGGCTTCAGGATGGGAACCCACACGTGGGGACACAGATGTTCACGCTGGTTCAAGCACAGGCGCACTGCAATCTCCACAAGTCCCGCCGAGTGAGCCCTGGAGCCCAGGCCAACCATCGGCAGAACACTTGGCAAGAAGTAAACAAGGAAGTTTACTGCTGCACTGGAGGTGGGGTTAAATTTGCAGTACAGTTTGCTCATAGGATGAATGAAAGAGCACATCTCAAGATCAAAGGGCATGTAAACATTTTATTTAATCGTCCTCATTTTGAAGGAGTAAAGCAAGACATAAGATCCCACAGCTGCAGGACAGCATACTTACGCTGGACTGGACATCTCCATGCTGGCAGAGTGATGGTGATGTTTACCTCAGTGGGTAAGCCTGTGTTCGAGACAAATGATGAAGCATGTCAGCATTACTGCAAATCTTCTGTTCAGTTTTTGTTTGCCTAGATAAAGAAGAAAATACAAAAATGTGTTTCAAAGCTCCCACTTACTATCTCTCAAGCTCAGGAGGCTGGGCTACAGGCTGAGTTATCCCTCTGTCTGCAGGACCAGCTGGGACTGACTCCTATTTTTACCAGCTCATTCAATACAGCAGAGAAGACTCTGCCCAGCTCAGTATGCTGACCAATCAGGACTAACAAAGAGATACGTTTGTGGTTTTTTTGCTCTTACAATATTTACACAGATCCAGTGAAACTTTATGACCACCCATGTAATTATAGTGCGTTGGTCCTGGACACCACTAGACTCCCGAAGGTTTGTTGTGGTATCTGACACCAAGATGTTTGCAGCAGATCCTTTAAAGTGCTGTAAGCTGTGAGGTGGTTGGACCTGTGGGATGCATAGGGTTGAAAAGTTGGGGCTGTGTGGATCATCGAGGAATACATGTGTTTTGGTCTGAAATGTGCAAACCGACATCCGAACAAAAGCCAATAAACGTTGGGAAGTCGTTGGCTGAGTTCCGGTAGGACAGTGTCATTATCCACAGTGAAACGTGTCCCGAGATGGGCTGGAAGGCCACTCAGCGAGAAGGAAGCCATTACTCCAAATGAAGCATAAGAAGTAGATGTCTTCATCTAATAGTGAACTTGTTTTTTTGTTTTTTTTTGGATGCTTTCAACAAAACAAAAGAAAGCATTTTGAGTTTTATGACGAAACAAACTATGAGAAAATGAGATTTAACTGATCGCCACATGATCTCTTCAGCCGTAAGCATTCCTGCGTTTGTATGGCACTCGTTGAGCTCTGCTGTACGTGATTTCATTCTGCTTTATGGAAACTATCCCAGTCATGCTGGGCTCTATTCTCAGACACGTTAGTCGACACCAATCTCCGCGGAGGTCTAAGCTTTTGAGTCAGCCCTCTCCTAGTTGGCACCTGGCTGTCTCACAAAAGCATGTGTGACACGGAGGAAGGCCAAGTTACCAACGAGTCCCAGCAAGCAACACTTTTATGAGCCACGTCCTACACGTAGAGCAACAGAGATGGACTTGGCAGCGGCGGCCAGGTTCTGTGCCACTTTGAGTATTTGATATGACCTCAAAAATATTATACAACACGCATATAAACCTGTTTTAGTTCCGATTACATTAACAAAACTAAAAACACTCTTAAAACCAGCATGTTGTTGCAACAGTTTAGGGATTTATTAAAACCAAAATTCCAAATTTTACTCAAGGTCATCAAGATTCTAGATTGGATTTACCAACATTTGGATGTGCTTCAATCAGAACCAGTGGTACCCAAAGTTCTTTCCCTGGTTCAGCTGATGTGAATCAAGCAAATAGTGATACTTGATTCAGGTATGTTAGAGAAGGGAGACACCAAAATATGTAGGACTTTTGTCCTTGAGGACTGGATTTAGACACCTCTAATTCTAAACCATTGCACTGCTGCTCCTGGCATCATTTCTTACGGTTATTGCGTTATGACAGTCTTCTACATACGAAAGACAAAAAAGTATGATATATTGGAAAAAAATTCCTAAACAACTGATTGGAACAAAACAAAAATGTAACAAAAACAATCCCCACTTTTAATAACTTTCGTAAAATATAAAACCACCTTTATTTAAGTTTAACTGATTGAGCAATTAGAAATTATATTTATTTATTAATTTGGTAAATGACCATCCTGCTCAAATAAAATGCTTAAACACAATTAGATTGTGTAAGGAGTTGATTCCTGATATGTTTTATTACAAAACTGTGCAAACTGAATATCAAGCACTTTCAAGGACATTACACAGGTATCGAGTACTTTCTAAACCTTGAGAACACCTTATTGAAATTCAAGCACTGGTACAAACCCTCTAAATGGTTTAAGTTAATGTAGTTAGTTGTGCTGGATTGTATTTTGAGGCTTCACAATAAGGAAGGGTTGACAACAAAAGCACGCCACACTGTTCAGACTTTTATTCATAAAAAGCTTTAAAAACAACAGAGTTCAGAGCTGCAGCAGTCGCATGAGAAGAGTGCGATTCGACGTGACGGCTCTTCTAAAGACGGTCGCTCACTTGCTCTCTCTGTTCTTTATCACGTCCAACTGCTGAGCAATTAGAGTGAGGCCAAACAATAAGCACTGATTGCACCCTCAGGCACGCTTACATAACAATGCTGCTTCAATAATTACAGCTCACAGTAGACAATGTTTATTCAGCTGAAGATGAAATGCGTCTATTGTACAAATGTATATTTACAACACAAAGTTAGCACACGGCGTACGGACGTTTGCTGAATTTCAATTAACTTAGGAACACACAGACGATCGAGTTCGGGTCGATGGAACAACGTCCTCTTAGAAAACCACCGTTTTCCCCACACAAACAAGGGCACGGAAAGGCAGGAACTGTGGTGCCAAGCGAACCGAAAATTACTTCCCCTTCAGGTCATGGAAGGCATCCTGTTATCGAGCGGCGGAGAAAAGGTCCAATAATGACGACGATGAGTCATACTGATTCAGTGTTGCAGAAAGGATCTGTTAACATGGCAGGTCATATTCTGGTAAGCGTGAGGCAACGATCTGAAAACTTAAGCACACTTCAGTTCTGAAGATTATAATCATCCAAAAATAACAGCACAGCCCTGCAGAAGCGGGGTTCTTCTACGCCGTTCGTCAAGGCGGCGGCGTCACAAACACATCTGGATCCGTGACAGGAGTCACTCCTCTCCGAGGAGCAGCTCTCCTGATGTGATAAATGTTGATGCAGCTGTCCTTTCTGTTTCACAGGGCGGGAAAAAAATAGCAAATAATCTTCAGAAGAAAGAGAGAGAGAAAAAAAGAAAACATCAACAAGGAACTAAAACGTAAAATTGTGTCTGAATTAGCATTTAAAAAGAAACTGATTCAGAAAAAGGTTGATATGAGGCACCTTGCAAGAAATCTAGTCCCTAAAACTTTTCATACTTAATCACATTGCAGTAATTAACTTCAATGTATTTTATTGTGACTTTGTCATAAAACACAAAGTAGAGAAATTGTAGTAATTGCAAAATAGTTTATATGAACACTTTTGTAAGAGTTGCAGTGTAAACAAAGACATAAATAGATTGTAAAATAAATAAATAAATAAATAAATCCAAATTTCACCGAGAATATAAAAGCTACAAAAAATGAATTAGCACCGAAAGGCTTAAGGCTCATTATTGATTATTGATTGCCCTCATGCTAACTTACTTACCTAGATGTGTTCAAATTAACTGCACAGCTCCACTTGAGACCAGAGGCGCTACAATGCGATACCGCATCAGGTGCTGGGAGCCCTCTTCAAGATCCACAACAAAGTCTCTGACATAAACAAAAGAAGGCATTTCCAGAGTGTCAATGCCAGGAAAATATTGCATCACAAAGAGGGGAGGTGGCTACACTCCCCCCTGCTGGACGCTTAGCCGAATGACAACACATGAAGAGAACCTGAAAGATAAAACGAGCACCTCTGTTCATCCGTTTCAGGCTCGATCAGAATATTTTCTTGCCGCTCCTTCACCCGCAGAAACACAAAAGAATCCAGGCAGGGCTCCGGTACTGGGGTTACAGTAAAACAAAAGGGGTTAAGGATGCTGGTCAGCGATCATTCAAGGCACAGAACAAAGACGGATATTGTCATTTTACCTGCTTTGAGCATGTCCACAGCCTGCAGGTTTGGAGGCATACGTTTCAGCGCTACAGCCTTCAGGTAGGTTTCTGTGTTGGCATAATACCTGGATGCAAAGTTATTATTATTTTTTTTTTAATGATGAATCTTTTAACACAATGCGAGCCACATTTGCTGCACTCACTCTTTGGCAAAGGCAAACTCCTCCGGAGAAAGCAGAGACGGCTGACCCTCGACTAGAGACTTTTCTCTCTCCAGGACGTGGGGGAAGTACTTCTCAATCTGGGTGTGGAAAGCGCAAACGTCAAGACACCGGCAGAGATGGCGGCGACGTTTTCATACGTGTTTAACGGACCTTCTGAAGGCGGGATCGCAGGTAGCTGCTGAGGACGAAGCGGATCCTGTCTATCTCCATCCGATGGAAGCCGGCCTTGGCGTCGCCCTTCTTCACTCGCTGCAGGTTAGCTTCCTGTTGGCGGGAAAAGTCAGTCGACGGATTAGGGGAGGAAAAAAAAACATGTTTCAGTTCAATTCTAAAATACTAAATTTTGTTGTAACTCATATGGTGGACGATATGAGTTACAGGTGTTTAGTATTTTAACACCTGCAACACCTCAGCCTCCCAAAAAGAACAAATCAAAATGTAACAAAGAAGCCCCAACAAAACTGCAGCCATTAGCAGCGTCATTCTAGAGGCCAGTGTTGTGTTCAAGACCACCTAACCCGAGACCAAGACAAGACCAAGACCAGAGTGTATCGAGACCGAGACA